ACACCCACGTGGCCTATTGGCCATTCGGACTTTACACACAGGATGCTGGACTGGACTTCAATGTGGAACAGAAATTCTGGGCAGTGGCCTTATTCTGGACCTGCCAGAGACAAGATTGTATATCTTCCATGGCGAGATGAACAGAGATGGGACCTTGGAGGGGGAACTCTTTAATTTTACAGAGAGGAAGGGAGAGGGATAGAGAGTTAGAAACATCGATGAGAGAGAAACATCGATCAGCTGCCTCCTGCACGCCCCCCACTGGGGATGTGCCCGCAACCAAGGTACATGCCCTTGACCGGAATCGAACCCGGGACCCTTGAGTCCGCAGGCTGATGCTCTATCCACTGAGCCAAACCGGTTCTTAATTTTACATCATCAGTAAGCTTTCTACTAAACCCCATCCTCCCATGGGGGCCTCAGGAAATTCATCTCCTCAAGGCCCCCCAAGAACTCCACTTCCACCGATAACATTACTACCAACCTTAAGGGAATATTATGAACAACAGTATGCCAACAAATTAGGTAAAAATGGACAAATTCTGAGAAAGATACAAAATGCCATAACTGGCTCCAAAAGAAGTAGAACATCTGAGTAGATTAATGACAAGTAAAAATATTGAGCATAATGAGTATCTGTTAGCCAAGTTTCAATTTAGGACAGATCTTTGGAAATACAGCAATGTGAATGTGGGTGGTGGGATGAAATGGGTAATTTCATAAAGATAAAACTGCATTTAGAATGTTTAAAAACCTCTCCGAAAGTTGGTGTTGATTGGGTTGCAAACAGGTTTCATATCTGTTAATGTCTGACTAAAGTTCTACATTGTTGAGAGTGATTCTGAAATATTATCTTAAGATCTTAAATGAGGGAATGTTCTGTGAATTCCACATCTTTGTCATACACAAAGAACTAAACTGGCACTGATACCATTGTAATTAGCTAGTTATTAGCAATAGGAAAAAAGCAAAGAGAAGGCCAGACATTATAAGATTGGTCATTTGGGCAGCTTCACCAGGAAGCTGCAACTTTATATTCCATGGTCTATTCCCTGCAGATCACTGGGGAAAGGACTGGACAAAGAGGAGATGGGCACATGCACAGTGAAGTTGGGGTGATGTAGAGAAGGTGTGTGCTGCCAGCCAAACTTCAGAACAGAAATCATTGGCCCGAGGGGGTGAGGGCCACTGCAAGCCATGAAAACTTGGGAATACATAATCCCCCAGACAAAGGAATTCTCTCTCTTGGGGCTCTTGGTTCTTATGTGGCTCTCTTGCATTGGCCTGTGTTCCCGCCATAGCCATGTGGCCCTGAGGATCCCACAGGCAATGGACTGATAGACTGAAACTGGGAACACAAACTAAGCTCACCTGATGCTGGATTGGACTGTGCCCCAGCATGGAGTGGAAACTCTGGACACTGGCTTTGATCTTAGCCCTGCTGAAAACGAAATGGGACTTTTTCCTTGGTGGGACAAAGGGAAATGGCACCTTGGAAACTCAGGGGTTTGATTCCACAGAAATATAGATTTCTGGGATATCTCATTGTCCTGCGTGAGTCTCCTAAAATTATTTTTTTCTTGTGATATCACAAGAAGCCCACTTCCACCTGCAACAGGTGGGGAAACAGAGAACTCCCCACAGATAAACAGTACTCTTTTGTGAATTCTGATCTGTTTGTTCATTGAGAGGGTAACTAATATTAAACCACTGTGTGTTGGGAAGGAAGGGGGGGGGGAGGACAAAGAAAAACAAAATAGCAGTTTAGTTCTTATGACTACAGTAAGATGGAAGATTAAACTTTTTCCACAAAGAAATCCTAATTTCTCTCCATGAAATTGAAGTAGACAATTCTGTGGTAAAATGTATATGGCAAACTTAAATCATTTAGGCCACAAGGAAGGTTTAACCTCTTTTAATTAGCCAGGATTATGTGAGTAATCAACTCAATTTCACTTTGAACATATTATCTTAAATATATTTTAATCATTGGTTGCTTGCTATAGTGTAAAGAAAAATATATATTTTTTACAAAAACTTATTGGTTGACATTTAAGGCAAAGCATCAAAGCCTAACTTTATTATAATGACACTAGAGGCCCGGTGCACAAAATTCGTGCATGGTGGGGGGGGGTCCCCTCAGCCCAGCCTGCACCCTCTCCAATCCGGGACCCCTTGGGGGATATCCGACTGCCGGTTTAGGCCCGATCCCAGGGCAGTCGGACATCCCTCTCGCAATCCAGGACCGCTGGCTCCTAACTGCTCACCTGCCTGCCTGCCTGATTGCCCCTAACTGCGCCCCCTGCCAGCCTGGTTGCCTCATGCAGCCTGCTGTTCAGTCGTCCATCCAGTTGTGTTGGTAGTGACGGCCCCTGGCTTTTTATATATTAGGATCTTTTTTCTTTCTTAGTCTGGACACTAAATCATCATGCATGATTGACTTTTGCTTACCTTTATCTTCTCTCTATACTTACTTTCTATGAGGCCAGCTCTTCAGAATAAGATGCAGATATGAGTAAAATGGAATAATGGAGCAGCACCAGTGAGATGGAGATGGATAAAATCCTCTCCAGACTCACTCTGAATTATTACTTGGTTCCCTTTCAATTTTGGGGCATCAAATTTCCCCTGAAGGTATATAGTTTCATTCAGGAGGGCAAAGCATTGATGGCAACAAGTAAGGAAAATAAACACTGCTAATTTGCACACATAATAATAAAGGAAAAAAGAAGAATATGATACCAGGGAGAGGTGGGGACTTGTTTCTTCTCAGAGAAACAGGAGACACCCATTTTTCTAATGTGAAAGTAAATGACTTCTCCTCGGCTCCCCATAATTTTGTATATAATGAGAATTGGAGTTGCACAAAGTATTGCTTTAGGAAGGTTCCCACATAGATTCCTGACATGGTAACCTCACTAAGGATGCAGACAGAAAAAAATCAACATCAATTGAATGAAAATCAAATTTTGATTAAGAATACTCAATTGTCTAACTTAATGTTAAATAGTGTCCCAGGTACTCTAATTTATATGTAATGTTTCATAGAAGTTAAATATTCTTGGTGACCTACATATATTGAGAAGAAATGAACCTGCTGGGAGAGCAAGGATCTTGATCTCTATATATTTACATATAATTCTGAATATATATGTATACACACACACACACACACACACACACACACATATTCTGAAAGAAAAAGCAAATTGAGTATTGACTTGGAGAAAACATGATTTCCTTCCTGATGTCCCTTTCACCAGCTAAGTGACCATGAGAGAGCCATTCATTTGGCATCAAATTAGCAGAGAAGTTTATCGGAATCCAGTCTTGTGACAAAATCAAAGTACTTATGGATGGCATCCATAAACTCCTCAGAGCATGGAACAGAGTGGACAAGAAGGGACTAACGAGACCTTTTGCACTTAGAACACTGAGCTAAAACCTCCGTTTGATCTAGGACTCTCTCCTCCCCTCTCTTTCTTGCTCTTTTTTTTTTTTTTTTTTTTAATGAATGTTTGGGGAGTGACATTGGTAAATATGAACATATATTTCTTTCTCTCTTAAAAAAAAATTCTTAGCCGAGGATATGTTTTTATTGATTTTTTTTTTTTCTAGAAAGAATGAGGGGGAGAAAGACAGAAACATCGATGTGAGAGAGAAATATGGATTGTTTGTCTCAGGTCTAGCCCCTGGCTGGGGATCCAACCTGCAACCTAGGTATGTGTCCTCACTAGCATTGAACCCAAACCTTTTGGTGTTTGGGAAGATGCTCCAACCAACTGAGCCACCCCGCCAGACGCCAGAGCGTCTCCTCTCTCTCTCTCTCTCTCTCTCTCTCTCTCTCTCTCTCTCTCTCTCTCTCTCTCTCTCATCTCTCATCTCTCATAAAGTCATGTATTTTGAGCCAGGCACTGATCTCAGTTCTTTAAGTCTGCAGTATTAACTCATTTAATCCAATACAACACCTATAAGGGAATCATTACAATTCTCTCCATTTGATGGCTGGCGAACTGAGGTACCAAGAGATTAAAGAAATTGCTGTCATGTAACTGTTTAGTGGAGTAGGTGGCATTCCAATCCAGTCTGGCGACAGAATCTGTACTTTTAACCAGTATGCTTTGCTTTCTTTCTTTGCATTTATCCCGTTAATAACATGATGTTAACTGCAAAATAAGATGTAAACTAATGAAAGGGGTGCGAAGGGTTAATGCTAAAGCACACCCGCGAGCAGGGAAAAAAGAAGAAAAAGAAAAAACCCACACAAAAACCCACAAACAAAAACAAACTAGCTAGCAAAGCCTGTTCCAGCCCCCGCAGGATAGTCAATGGGCCTCCTGTTTCTTTAAACTCTCGCTTTCGCTCTGGCTGACACTTTACAAAGCAGCTGTGGCGGCTGGACCACGCGGCCCCGCGCCTCCCCCCTCCACCCGCCTCGGGGGGTCTGGGGTTCGAAGGGGCTTCTCGGGGTCACTAGGCATACCCGCTCTGGTTTGCTTTCCTCACACACCATCCCCTGCCATACGAGCCTCCCGGGACAGGGGAACTCTAATTAACCCTTTTGCGTCCAGAAAGAACCTCTTCTGCGGCCACGACCCCCCGCAGTCTGGCCCCCCGCCGTCTGGCGCGAAGGCGACCCGGGGGCCAGGCGGGTGCGGGCGCCACTGGCCCGAGGGCCAGCCAGGTGCAGGGATGGCGCCCCGGCGGCATGGAGGTGCCGCCCGCCCCTCCCCTCCTGGCTCGGCTTTCTCACCGCCTCTCCCCGCGCCCAGGGCCGCCGGCGGCGGGGGGCGAGCCGTGCCGGAGTTGCCCTCTGCCGCTCCCTTGCATTGCTCCCCGGGTTTAATCTCTCGGACTCTTCTGCCAGCTCCGAGGAAAGTGCAGCCATTGGACAGGTCGGTGCTAGCTGCCGGTTTCGGGGAGGAAGGTGGGAGAAGGCTGGAGGAGCGAGGGGGAGGGAAGTGGGAGGTGGGAGGAGGGTGCAGCGGCCGATCTGGCAAATTGCGAGCTGCCTTTCCTCCCCAAAGACTGGAGCCGGAGCGCTGGGGAGCGCGGCCACGGCGGCGTCTCCTCCGCCACCAAACTCCGGGGTTCGGTTGGGCTTGGGGCCACCTCCTCCTTAGCCAGGAGGAACCCTCTCTCAATAGGTTCGGCCAGATTTTTTTCCCCCTACCTATTTCTTTGTTCTTCTTCCTTTTTTAAAAAACAACAGCATTTTCTCCCTGACTTTGGATCTAAGAGTGCTGCAGCCTGAGCCTTCCCAGGGCTCAGCTCTTTCGGGCTGCCCATCCCTCCGGCGGCCAGAAAGGACGCGCGCCCGGCGTCGGGCGAAGAAAAGAAGAAAAACTTGTCGGAGGGGTTTCGCCAGTCCACAGTCACCCCCTCCCCGCAAACCCAAACCTCCCGCGGTGGCCAGCCCAAGATCGGGAAAAGTTCCTTCGGATCCGACTGCTCTCTTGCATCTGGAGGAGGCACCCGCGCTGCCTGTGGAACTGGATCTGTTTTGAACCCAGTGGAGCGCATCACGGGGGCTCGGAAGGCACCCGGGTGGCGCTGCGGGTGCGGAAGCCGGAGTTTGCGAGCCCCGGCTGCTGCTGGTGGTCTTTCCTCCCCGCGGTTGCGGTTTGGTGTCTGGGGTGAGGGTTGCGAGTGTGGTGGCAAGTTGCGAAGAGAGACCGGAGGTCCGGAGAGGACTGCGCTCCCCCGGGTCCGCCCTTCCTCTTCCTGGCTCCCGGCTGTGAAATCCCAGCGAAATTTACAAAGGCCGCCCGGGACCGCGGAGAACCTTCCACGGCGTGAAGCTCCGACCTCCCCAGTCCCACTGAGAGCCCAGGGCGCCGGGGGAGGACTGGCGCGTAGGAAGAGGAGGAGGGGGGTCGCGGCGGCGGCATGGCGAGGTTCCCGAGGGCCGACCTGGCTGCTGCAGGAGTTGTGTTACTTTGCCACTTTCTAATGGACCGGTTTCAGTTCGCTGGAGGGGAGCCTGGGAACCAGATCCGTGGTAAGATCTGCTTTTCGAACGCTTGTTGATTTTGTGTGCAGCTGAAGACCTCTCGGACACCCCCATTCTCAACCCACCCCCACCTCATCTCTCTGCTCTTAGGAAAGTTATTGCAGTTGCTTTGGGGGTAAACTTGGGCTTCCCAAATGCGGAGAAGAGGGTTGGCTAGCGAAGGATGGAGGGGACTGTGGCTTTCACGAGGGTTCGGGCTTGCTTCACCTGAGCGCCAGGGGGTGGCACTGACTCCCCCAAGTCGCTCCGAGAGGACTCTGGTGTGAGAGCCAACCGCCTTCTGTGGCTACCTCGCCCAGCAGCTGGCATCCCTGGGCTGTCTCTTCTCCGGCTCCCCCTCCTTCCCTGCTGCCCCGAGAAACTGAGCGAACGCGTGATGGGGGCAGTGGGTGGAGGACTTGATGGCAGCCGGGATTGCAAGGCTCCTGTCAGGTGGAGAAAATTACCAGTGGCTGCACCTTTCTACCTCCAGGCAATCTCCAGTTTAGCTCCCTTTCGCCGTCTGGGGCGCGGCGGGTGCCAGAAGTGGGCAGGGTAGGAGTGGCGGGGCGCCGAGGAGCGTGGGAGGTGGCCAATGTAGGGCGGGCACGCCTCGGGTGACCAACCCCTGGCCCCATTGTCCTCCGCCGGCTGCTTTGCAGACGGGCCTGAACGTGCGGGGTTCCTCCGAGCGCCGTGTCACTGCCCCCGCCCGCAGCCCCGGCCCCCGCAACTTCCCGGGGCAGCGCCTCCTGCTCCCGCCGCCGCTCCAACCAGGTGCGCGTCCCGCCGGGAGCCGCGCCCCGGGGCGGGTGCGGAGCCCGCGATGCAGCCCTGGGTCCGCTCCGCTGGCTCCTCCGGGCGAGGCGCTGAGCCGGAGGTCCGCCCGCCTCCCGGGACCCTGCCCGCTGCCCGCCCGTGCTGTCCCCCGTTTCTGCCCCTCGGAAGGGAAGCGAGGAAACAGGCAGAGACAGACCTTGGCAGAAATTTGTGAACTCCGGGGGACTTCAAGAGTAGGTGAAATGAGAAAGAAAGAAAAAATAAATAAATAAAACACCTGGAGAGGGGGAAAAAAGGAGACATTTCAGTTTACGATAATAAGATTTTGATTTGTTTTAATTCTGGGAGCGGAATTAAAGGGGGCCGGGGAGGAGGATGGTAAGTGATTCTTCAGAAAGTACAAAAGTGTCCGAAAATGTCAGGCATGAATGAAAGTGGCAGATGGAAGAAGGCCCGGGAGGGCACCTGGGGCTTTCAGGTGAGTGAATCTTCAAGGAGGTACTTGAAGGAGATTTTATAAGCTGAAGCCTAGAAGACAGACAGCCAAAACACTGTGTCTGCCCCAGGTGCAGATTCTTAGAGAAAGTACAGATTCAGGATTGGAGGGTGTCTGTGCATGTCTAGAGAGGGCGGGGCCAACATGATGATCACACTTTTAAAACTGAATAAAACGCAAATTTCCTGGAAGTTGACTTGTCTTTATCACATGCAATTTTTCTCCATACTGGGATATAGGTCGTTCTTCACTAGGTATTATTTAGATCAGTAGAGCATACCTTCTGTTTATTTCTCTGATAATATTGATTAAAGAAAAAAAAAAAGACTTACCCCTCCATGAAGCAATATATTTATGTTAAAAGGTGCAACAGTAATTTTCATGGACTTTTTCATGGAATAAATAAGTGCCTTTAAGCATATAAGCAATTTAATTCACCTCAGAGTGGTGTGCGTGCCAAAGTGCATCCCAAGTTGTTTATTTGAAAACTTATTTGGCACTGGAAGTAAATAAAGCATTTACTGTAAAAAAAATAAAAGAAAGCAAATGTTTATTTTTTTCTCAAAATTTTTCATTAAAAATATAATACTGAGAAAATAATATATACAATGAATTTACTATTCTAAGTTCTTAAATTGAAGATGAAATTCATTTCACTCTAAAATTGATCAGCTAGTTAAAAGCCTTTGCTTTGGGAAATATAAAGTACTTAAATTGTTCAACGTAAATGTGCAGGTGTGGTAAATCAGCCCAATATTTTCTGGTGGAAAACTACTCTGGAAACCCATATATTTATAGGATTGAGTAAAGAAAGAATAGTTTTAAATTTCTTGACAAATTTATTTGGAGACTTATTATAAACTGAAGTAGCTTATTTTCTGGATATCAATTTACATATAGTTTTATGAAATAATCCTGGAATAAAATAGCCTATCGAATATATAAAATACAGCAATGAAAGGGAAGAAAAAATACAGTTTCCTATTCCTATTAAAACAGTCTACCTAAACGTTCAACACAGTAAATAAAGAGTCCAACAGTCTTGAAATTTGAAATGTAGCAATCAGGATTTTTATTACAGACATTTTGGCATTGGGATAAAATCTGATTTCATAACAGGGATATTTTATTATGCATTACTTGAGTAATGCTGCAGTTGATTTTATTGCCACCAGAGGGCAGAAAAACTGCTATTTTCTTCTATTTCTATTCCCCAAATTTCTGATTAATGATCCTCAATATTTTGTTTTTCCTATGTGTAATATTTTTTGGTATTTCAGCTTTTATAAATGAGTGACAATTTTCTATAATGAGAGCTTGTTATATATTTTTTTGTTTTCATTGAAATTAACTAAATATAAATTCATTCAACCTCCTACATGTAAAAAGACCTACATTTTGAATACATCCTTATGGTGTAATAAGTGCAGTGGAAAAAAAACAAATACCCTCTTTTGTTTTATTGCTGGAGATTGTTAAAAAAATTACTGTAGAATTCCCACGAATATAGCTTAAAATACCTCTCATTAAAAGGTCATTATTATATAATTAATTTAAGTTTAGGATTGAATATACTTTATGCATATATGCACAGTCTTTGCTCATGCTAAGTAGTATATCTCAACACCAATACTTAGAATAAGTATTGGAATAATAAATCTTTAATCATCTTTATATGATAATATATTCATTTTTGAAAAACAGTTTAGTAACAATGTCCAAGGAGAAAGATGTATTTCTGTCTTGAAAATTTCTAAAATTTAAGTGAGAAAAAAGGCCTAAAACATGAAGTTAGATTTTTATTTATTACTCTCAAATGTAACTTAATGCAACAAGAAAGCTTATTATCACTATGCAGAGAGAGCAAAACTAATTTAGGACCCAAGGGGATTTTAACTTTTTAAACTTTCTAATATCATTATGTTCTAGGGACAAGTAGTTTATATGTAGTAGATTATTTACATTTATTTTCGTTGTTTCTCCAGTTGGGTATTTCATTTGTCTGTTTTCATTGGAATTACAAAACTTAGTGTGAAACATTACTGACTTGTGGAGTTTGTTATGAGAGTATCTCTGTTCAGACACACTGTCACCAGTATACATTTTCCAACTGCAAAAGACATGGGTCGGGTAATCAGACAAATGACAGCCATTACGTGTGATTGCATACCAAAAAATTTTAAAATATGAAATGGAGAGGCTTTGTCCTTAAGAGAATACATGCAAGTTGAAGCCTGAGGTTGTGCAAGTTTGGCCTGTGACGTCAGTGTGATCTAGAACATTTATGTCAGAGATAGGTTTTAGTTCATGGATGTCCGCATAGAGATTTTGAGTGAGTATATTTATAAAGATGAATGGATTGATCAACAACTGTGATCCTGAGACCCAAAGCCTTAGCCGTTTCCTTTCAATACAGTCTCTTCACTGTGGCTTTCAGAACCGTGTCATCTCAAACTACTTTTCCACCTATCTCTCCTCTGTATGTTCTTTTAACACTCTAACCAAAGGTGGCTTCTTGATGTTCCCTGAGCATATATCATGTGTTGCTATCTCTTTGCCATTCCTTCTGCTCGTCCTTCCCTAATCCATCTCCATCCATCCCTCTTCTACTTTTCCCGCCTCACAGAAGGATGTGATGTTTTAGATCCCACGGAGAACTCTATGCCTCGTTTAAGGCACTTGTTTAACTCTGCTTGATATTGTAGGAGTATTTTTTCCTCCCTTTTCTGCATCTTTCATGTATTCACAGAGACCACATCACATGCTCTGAAAGTCACAGTCTACATCGTTCACTTCTGAATCCCCTGAGGCACCTGCCACCAAGACATGCAATAAGCAGTTGTTGAACTGAGTGGAATTATAGTTCAAGCTAGATGGACTGCTGACTTGAAGGTCACCTTGGAAGGCATTTTCTTACCTCTATCACTTTTTCCATCAATAAGATGGAAATGAATACATAGATGGGCTTTACAGAATAATAGTTTAAAATGAGAGAATAGGATGAAGAGGTCTGCCCAACTGTTATAATGCATCTAGCAGATGATAGATATTTACACTAAACTTTCTATTAGTATACAGAACTTTGAAAAAGTTTATTTTACCATCTTACTATACTTCTGGTTTCTGACTCAACTTTCTCTCATGTTCTTAATTTAATACCTTGAAGTATGGTGTGTACATGTGTGCGTTTGTATATAAAATGTATATGTGTAAATGCATATATATATATATATATATATTATATCAGTGATAGTCTAATTTCAGTGGAGATGAACACTATTAAATAATTGTAGTACCCAGTGAAATTACTTTTGAACGGAACTGGGCTTAGGCCTGATGCCATTAACATATACAGAAGGAGGCTTTAAAAACATAGTTTCATAAACTTGTTACGGTAGTTGTTATGGGGGCATGGCGGGTGGTGTTTTTCAATGCTTAGTGCAGGGTCTGCTTCCTGAGTGGCAGAGGGAGAGGGAGTGGGAGAGGGAGGGGCAGGGAGAGAGAGACAGGATCTTGTGTTTCACTAACAGAAATAACATAATATACAGTTCTTCTGAACGGGTTTGTTTGTGTTTGTTTGTGTCTTCTGAACATTATGAAGAGTGACCAGATGCGTTACCTCTTACGTCTTGGTTTCTTGAAAGCTCAGAGGCATAATTAGTGGCCCACCTCCAGCAAGTATTTGAACCTTCTGGCCTACATTTTGTGCACTAGCTTCCCTGGGTTTTCATCT